TTGAATTTGAGCCTATTTATTAATTTTGATTATTTTATTCTACCTCTTCGCTTCTACTGGTTTTTTACAAGTGTTGTCTCAGTCTTTGTACACAATTTAAGGATTTTTATTATGTCAGTCGTAATGTCGTTACTTTACTTTTTTGTTTATCGACTAGACAAGCTTTGCTGAACATTTAATGAAGAAGCAGTTTGTTTTCAGGTTTGATAAAAATTGAAATTAAATAGTTTTTCGTTATACAATAGAAATCGATCTTCAAAAAAAGAAGAAAACAAATTTTCACGGTCCGAAGCGGTCCTGGTCCCCAAAAGTTATAGTCCGGTACCAAAAATTGGGACCAGACCGAACCATACGGAGTCCTGGTGCCATCTGCATTTATCAAAAGCAAAGAACTGCTTCGTTTAGATTATTTTTTCTAGATTGATGTTTGCTCTTGTTCGGGCGTAATATGACAATTAATGCTGCAATTGCAAACAAGTTGGGTTTAGAATGGTATTTTCTCTCAAACAGTTGCTAAAAAAAATCTTTAGTACTTTTTTAAGTTTTGCTTTTGATAGATGATCTGGTTCAATCTAATTTTATTTCTTGTTGCAGGCAACTTTTCAAACATTTCGTGACGCTTTAACAAAATATGTACGTAAAAATGATAAATTGTATTCAACGCTTCTTGAGTTACTCGTTTTGATATAATTTGTGAAAAAATGTTGATTAATCTAGCACAGATCTAACCAGTTTTGACCACAAACTATGATAGAGATGCAAATAAGATCTGTGTAATATTTCGAACATAAGTTAGAAAGTTCAATGCAAAACAATTTCAGCGTGACACTGCCAGTGCTTATGCCAAGTTGTGAGGCACTGGTGCCTATCAAGTACAAAACCAGTGCTGATAAGATTTTATTTTGCAGATTCTTTCTATATACATGTTATGAGGTTTCTCGTGAGCGTTGTTATTGTAAAGTTCAACAACAGTTTCATCGCGATAAAAACCCACAGTTCATTTCTTTTAGTTGAATGATAAGAAACCGGATGAAATGAAAGAAGTTTTCTTGTATGGGCAAATACCACCGATTGAAAAGCTTGATTCAACATTATCAACATTGGTTAATTGCGAGTAAATATATTAGCCACATATACAGATGTAAAAAAAATGCCATGCAATATAATTTGGCATACTCTTTTGTTTTCAGACGATTAGCATTATCATCAAATACAATCGATCGTATTAGTCACATGAATGGACTAAGTAGGCATAAAAAAGTTGCTAAAATATTTTCTTGTACGATCTACGTTTACACTCCATAGGATCATTGAAAATTTTATCATTAAGTCGAAATAATATTAAAACTTTAGCTGGTCTTGTATGTATATTGTGCACTTATTTGTTTTACTTATTATAGATTATTATTTGCATATTTCTTAAGGAAGTATTAGGAGAAACGCTAGAACAGTTGTGGATGTAACTATAATTCATAAATATTAATATGCATCAGAAAAAAATCAGTGAAAACTTCTCTTTTAGATCCTACAATATGATCGAAAAACTCAAAGGAATAACGGCGCTTAAAAAATTACACGTAAATGAAATACTTCAAAAATTTTTTTATTTATTTTATATATTTAAAAGTTTTTTATTTCAGATTCTCTACATGGCATTTAATCACGTAAAAGAATGGGGAGAAATAAATAAACTAGTCAGTAACATGAAAAAAAGAAGTAAAATTGAAGAATATTTAACATTTTTTCTTTATAGGCCGAGTTACCTCTATTAGAAGAAGTATAAAACAGCAAATGATATCGTCATGTAAACTACTAGTCGTATATGCTATTATTGTAGATGACATTTTATGGAAATCCTCTACATGAGCGTCATGTCGGTGATTATTTTCCACCTGAACCTGTAATCGATCAACCAGGCGTCACAGGACTAGATAAAATTTATCGTACAGAGTTTAAAAAACGTGTTCCAAATTTAAAAAAACTTGATGGTAATTCGGTTGAACTATATAAAAATCTATAACATAAATGTTTCATTCATTCTAATTATTATAGGAAAAATTTATGTAGAAGAAGAAGATGATGATGATTGAATTATATATATAAATATATATGTGCGTATGTGTGTGTGTATATCATAGACAAATTTTTTCAAATGAAACTAATTTTTTAAGTTAAGTTTTAGTATGATTCCAGTGATATTTATTTTAAAATAATTATCTACACAAACTTTCTTCATGTCTCCATAATTATAGGTAAAATATGTGCCAAATACTATTTTCAAAAAATATTTTGAATTTAAATAATTTTCATACTTGTTTTAAGTAAAAACCTCTAAAACTCGGAAAAATCTCGGTCGAAAGTTCGAAGAAAACCAAATTTGTTCAAAAATCCTGAAACATACATCAATCAATTCAGTTTTTGATACTGATTTCAAATATGACACTGATTATGCAGGAAAATGGACGTTTGACGGTGAAAACTGCAAAATACAAGTGAATTTCCTTGGTTTTTGCTACCTGTTTCAAAAAAATTTATTTTCTCAACAACGGAATAATATTTTCCAAAAGCGATACATAACTTTTTTCGTGCTATAATGGCGAGTATAATTAGATAAAACTACTGGCTTCGTCACTTATCTAGAAAGACTTGAAGCATTTGCCAGAGAGGGAAGAGTAATTTTCACCATTGATGAACGACCAACAATTAATTGTCAGGGTCATGTGATATTTGAATAATATCAAAAGCATATTTTTCACGTAGAATAAGAATAAAGATAGTTCAAAATTACCAAAAGCAGTATATGAGACATTGACGCTCATTTTTGAACAAATAAGCCATTTTTCAGGTTTTAAAAAGTTTGATCTTTTTCAAATAAAATCGATTTGAAACCCTAAAAACCATATATTCGGATTCAGCTCAACTAGTCGCGTCGAACCATGTATATACTTCACAAAAATAAATTTTGCTCGACTTTTGAATTTCGGGAACCTTACTTAAAAAAATCGGCTCCTTCTTCCTAAAAAACTCCTTTGGATCTGAAAAGCAGACACTTTAATTGATTAGTTCACAGAATAAAAAAGAATCGACTTTTCTTTGTGTGTTCCCTAATGTTCATTTTATT